GGAAGGGTGGGAGATTGGCCCAGAGGTCTGTAGGAGCCGCACCGCGCAGGCCTCCTGGTTAGCGCTGGCTTTGGTTGTGCCACTTTGGGAGATAAGATGTGGGTCAGTGGGCCTGGACACGTTGCTTTCTGCTTCTCTGTTAAGTGGCTCAGTGTGGTTGGGCATTTACTGTCAGCTTGTGCGGACGCTTGAGATACTTCCCCCATGTGTCACTTTGACACACTGCCCAGCCTGTGGCTTTAAATGCTCTCCATATACTGACGGCTCCCAACTCTATATCCCTCCCTCCCCTTATCCCTGGGTTCCCAACACCAATACCCAACTGCCTGCTTAGCGTCCCCGTTACTGTTTAACAGGCATCTCAAATTTATCAAGGCAGGAGGTTAGTTGCTCCTGAGGAAACCTCGTCTTCCCAGGGTGCAGCAAACGCAAACACACCACCCAGGTGCTCAAGCCAGACGTCCAAAGCTCACCCTCCACCCCATCCCCTTCCTCACCTTGTACATTTGGCCCCCATCATGACCCCTTTGACCCAGTCTGGCCCAACACGCTCTCCCACTTCTCTTTCCGCGTCCTCCCCATTCAACTTCTCCTCCAAGCACAGCCTCCCACAGGGGCTCTTCACTTGTTTCTTGCACACCTGCGACCCGCCCTCTGCACAGACAGCGGGTGGATTCTCAAAGGGTGAGTCTGTTCTGTCCCTCCCCCGCTGCTATCTGCTATGGCACTGTAACAACATGGCCCCCGAGGCCCCCGTCAGCATCCTGTTCCCAGCCCGTCGGGTCTACGGGCCTTAGCACACCCAGCTTCCTCCCTGGGACACTTTGGCTCCGTCATTTCCCGAGGCCGGCTCCTTCCCTTCCTTCAGAGCTCAGCTCATGACCTCTCTCAGGGAGACGCCACCCTGTCTAAGGGAAGCCCTGCCCTCCATGGTGGACACCGTGAGGCACCGTCCCAGCCCCTCCAGGATGGAAGGGGCGTCGCCCACTGCAGGGAGCACTGCGAGTGGGGGGCCCTCGGCCTCTGGGGAATCGCCCTGTGAAGAGAACTAGCCCAGGGTCCCTCCTCTTCCTCACAGGAGCCCACGCCCCACGACTGCTGGTGAGGGGTCGGGATGCTCTGCCCACTAGCCAGACTCAGGACGACTCCGGAGAGCTGCGCCTGCCCCAGGGCTCGGGGTGAGCGGCTGCCCCGGCTGTGTCTGTGCCGACCTTCTCCCTCAGCCCAGCTGCCTCCGCCCTTTCCTGGTGAACTTCCGAACGCCCGTCTCCACCTCGGCGCCTGCTCCCTGCTCACCCAACAGGTCACGCGGCCTCTTTAATAATAGCTGCATAGCACTTGCCACCTCCCCAGATTATTGGTTAATGTGTTCGTTTACATGTTTTCTGTCTGTCACCTGGTTAGAACATAAGCCCATGAAGTCAGACACTCTGTCTATGCCCTGAGCCCAGAATAGTGCCCAGACAATAAATATTTGTTGGATTAAAACTTTGCTAGTAGAGAAGATAGACACATAAACAGATATTTGTAATAAAATACAGAGGAAGCAGGCTATCAGACACAGAGACCCGGGCGAAGCGGCTTACTGGAAGAGATGATACCAAGCCATGAGTTGAAGAATCGGCAGAAATTAGCCAGTCAGGGAAGAGCAGGAGGAGGCATCCAAGGCTCCAGGATGGCACGTGCAAAGGCACTGGGGTGTGAACAGGTGTGATAGGAAGCCCCGCTGTTGGTGTCCTGGACACACTGCAGCCTTGGAAGATGGAGTTGAAGGAGTCCAGTGACTCGTGACGGTAGAAAAGTTTCCCAGTCAGGTTATTTCTTTAAAATATTGTGATGTGCTATAAATGGAAAGCACTAATGTTTCACTTCTAAATTTTTAATTTACAAACTAAAAATCTGAAACCTGAAGTTTATTAGTGGTGGTCTAACCTGTTTTAAACTTTATCACGATAATGGGAACAGCCGTGGCCTCTTCACTGAGGACTTTCCCTACCTGGTTTGCATCTAGGTTCGCAGCCTGGACTCAGCATGTTTCAGGAAAGCAGTTCTTCCTTCAGCTAAGCTGAGTGATGATGACAGTAATTTCCAGTTAAACACAGGCTAAACCTCGGCACGTCCTCCTGTAATCCCCTCCAATCTCCAGCCGTTTCTTTCTTCACGCCCATCCCAAACAGATGCAGTTCAGGCTCCGTTCTCTGATCAAGGAGCGGGTGCTGCCAGGTCAATTTGCCTTCAGCTTGTTCAGAAACTTCTCTCTGGATCTAACGAACAGCTGCTGCCCAGAGTCGTGACGTTGGCTGGACGGGGGGGCGTTTCACAGGTTGAGTGTCAATCTTAGGACAGAATCCACTCTAAGGGAAGCCATATTCCCTTCACGTCAGTACCCACAAATTCGTGGGAAGTTTCCAGCAGCTTCTTGCTTGCATTTACCTCTAAGCTGGCAAAGTTTTTAGAGTTATGGTCCTAGCTGATCCTCCGCGTCATGGGATCCAGCAATAGCCTCGTGCCTATTAAGCACCAGGAAAGAATGTTAATAACTTTATATTTATACCCTCTCTTCCCATTTCCTTCTTCTTATTCTACCATGGTGCTGTGATGCTAGTTTCTATAATAAAATAGTACTTACAATGCCAGTATCCCAGATCCGTTAGAATTTGGGTATAACAGGTCTAAGTGTAGAAAAACAATACTCAACATGCTTTTCCTAGTCTCTCACTCAATGACAGTTAACACAGACGACTTCTGTGACCAAATGTGTGGAGGTCACACCAAGCAAGCAATCAGTTCTGCAGTGGACACCAGCTGGTGTCCCCAATTCAATTCTGACACCGTCTACCTAGACAGCATCAGATCCCACAGACTGAGGGCTCGGTCCCCAGGCTGCCTCCTCGTCTTTCCCAGATAGACGCTGGCAAGTCCAGGCCCCCAGAAGTTCTGACCTCCTGGCTTCAATTTGGGGTTCCCATGATCCCCTCTCCGGATTTGATTAATTTGCCAGAGCAGCTCACAGAACTCAGGGAAACGCTTACGTTTACCAGTTTATTATAAAAGATCTTACAGAGGGTCCAGATGAAGAGACGCACAGGGCGAGGTATCGGGGAGGGACGATGAGCTTCCCTGCCCTCCCCAGACACACCGCCCTCCAGGCCCCTGCATGTGTCCGGCTATCTGGAAGCTGCCCAAACCCTGTCCTCTTGGGCCTCTTATGGAGCCTTCATTGGACGGGCGTGACTGAAGCGCGGACAGCCATGTGGAAATGCGCCTGCACGAAAGGGGTGCGTGTAACCACAGACCGAGTGGGGAACCCGCAGGGCCTGTCTGTGCAGATTCCGCTTCCCTGCCTGCAGGGGTGGGCGGGACCCCTCTGGAGTGAGGGTCTTATGACCCGCAGCAGAAAGGCAGGGAAGGTTAGAGTGCTGCCTTAGGCTGGTGAAAGGAGGGCAGGGGAAGGTCAGAGAGAGAGAGATTCTGTTTTCTGAGGCCTAAAGTGCTCCAACATTATAACAAAAGACTGTAATGAGGGCTAAGGGAGTTATGAACCAGGAACCACGGATGAAAACCAATGCATGCATGTCTCATGATGTCACAATACGAATTACTGTGATTTTGCAGTATCACACTATTTTGTCATATTATTTACAACATGTGAGTATACACCCATTACATATGTGTTGAAAAGGACACAATCCTAAATGGAAAGTATGAAAAGTGTTGTAAGTTTTCTCTTTTACTTTCTGCACATCTGTAATTTTTTATGATCTTTAAAACAAACCAAAAAGAAATAAAAAGGGGGATTTTACATGTATATAAGTTATCCTGAAACAAATTCCTATAGCTACATATGCATAAGTATTTTAAATTAGTGGAAGTTCTCATGCCAGACTTCTAATAATAAAAGGGAGACAGTACCGAGGCAATTACTTGGAAAATTTGGCAAGAAAAACAGATTAACCGGATAAATGGTAAAATTGAATAACGGAGCCCATTCAGTGCTGTGCAGAATTCAAGCAAAGACACCGTTCGTGCCTGGATTGTCCAGGAAACTCAGCCGGAGACGGTTCTCTGCACGACGCTTCGCACAAGTAGCTTCCTCTTCTCTTCCCGGCACACCTGGCGTCTAGCCCCAGAGGCAAACAGGGACCATATTCAACCCGTAGGGGAAGGTGAATCATTCCAAAATAAGCCCCCAAACAAGGGGCTTCTCATCTCGTGCTGCAGAGACCCTGCTCTGCGAAAGGAAGAACATTGGAATCACAGAGATCTTGGCTAAATCTCAGCCTTCACC